CTCCCCCTCCCCCTCCCATCCAATCACCTCACCTCACCTCCCCTCAAACTGACCCCAACTCGTTTGTCATCGCAGAAACAACCCACAAGGAAGGACACCACCCCCAACAGACGAGAGCGGAGAGCCAACGTCACGGCAAAACCCCGGGCCGCTTCACGAGGGCCAGTGAGTTTGATGAGGACGAGCAGGTCCTTCAAGGTGGTCTGGACGCCACCAAGTCTCCAGAACTTGTGTCCGTTTCGCGCCAACACCTGGTCCAGAACCGAGGGGGGAGGCGAATTACAGACCAGAGTGGAGGGGCAGACGATGACCAGAGAAGACAGAGCGTGGATGAGGAGAGAGCAGGCAGTGGTGGAAAGAGGAAGGATATTCAAGGCGTAAGTTTTTTTGTTTTTCTTTATAGTTTTAATAAGAGTTTTACGGCACTTGCAACACAATAAGGTCATATAAGTGCCGAAGATTAGAAGTGTTACAAGAGAGTAACAAACAGAAAAAAGAAGGAGGGGAGATACAGACGATAGATACTTGATAGGAAAGAAGAAGCAAACCACACCAGAACACCCGCCAACCACCCACGTTTTTATTTTGAAGAAACCAAAAACTTTAACATAAATCATGAAAATGATAAAACAAATCTAACTTTTTTATCCCCTTGGGGAAACTTTAGTTACAAAGGCAAACACGCATACAATAATACATACCCAAACACAAACATAGGCATACGGAGCGTACAAAATGCGTAATATTACAGGAAAGCAGAACAATTTCACGAACTTGTCATTGCTTGTTGCCACTGTGCAGCACCCTAGGTTTTTTGTTTTGTTTTTGTTTTTTTGCTTTTTGCTTTGCAATTTTTGGGGGGTCAGGATCATGGTGTCTTGTTCAAGGGCACACCCTGATGACCACCCATCTAAACGTCGTGTCATTGACACTATTGTGTCGTTGCAATAGTGGCAGTCCTTGTGTCCAGTTTATTGTTTTAATAATAGCTCGAGCATAGACTGAGGCGGAAGGTTCGAAACATGAGAGACTGTTGGATTCCCGTTGACTTTGACACTCATGATAATATTATAGGGTATAGATTTTGTGTTTAAATAGTTTTTATTTGTTCAGGGTTTCTTTGTTTTAATTTATGGTTCTTTTATTTAAGATAGAGTTTTCAGTTTTTGAAAGGATATAATTTGTATATGGAAGGGTGCTTTCGTAGCTCTCCCGCCCAGTCACTTATCCCACTCAGGATGAAAAGATAAAAACAACACAGGAGATTTCCAACATAAATTACCGTCTATTTGGTTATGACTTCAATAGAACATAGACTTTAAAAGCATTGCTTCCATCACTTTTTAAACAAAATTATTTCAATAGTCTGACTATAATATTTATACGGACCTGGAGAAAATATATCATCATCAAGTGCCAGATCTGCAACAGATGTCGGTGATCATAGTTGTCTATTCATTCCTATATTTGGGTGCTCTCAAAAACACTATATTATTAAGGGGAAAAAAGGGGGAAAAAACAACTATATTATTATCTTACTCTTACCCAGTCGGGGGCTCTCGTGGCCTAGAGGTTAAGGTGTTGGCCTCTCATTCAAAGGTCCCGGGTTCGAATCCGGGTAGCGACCGAAAAATTTTCTTCTCTAAATTTGTCTCCTTTCACCTCATTTCCTGCTCTCTAGCAATATTCTGTCGTCTGCTTTCATCTCCTCTTTCTGCCCCCACCCTCTCACCTCCTTTACCCCTTCCTCTGGGCTCCTGATTCTTTCTGCAGCTTTTCTACTGCTACTCCTTGGCTCCCCTCCTTACTGCTGTCTTTCAGCCACACCCCTGATCTTCTAGTAGGAAAGATCTACACCTAGCCTTCTCGGACAAGGGTGAAAAATCTCGGAGGGCCCGTGTGCAAGTTGCGCACGTTAAAGATCCCTTGGTGGTCTAAAATCGATAAGAGTAGGCTTCGGCCGCCACCCGGGCAAAATTCAAAATGTCCTACCAACTGAAAATATTAGGTGTGTCCCGCGCGCTCATATGACCTTATGCAGTTGCGAGCGTCGTAAAACACTTTACAAAAACAAAAATATTTTTAAAAATTACCCAGTCCCACATCTGTTTTGGCTTTCCAGGTAAGTTGCTCTGGGTCTACCCCTGCCTCGTTTGCCTCCAGTTTGGCCAGTGAGAGCTAGATATTCCAGGCCGTTATATTTATACATGTGTTTTAGAAAACCAGCTTGTCTCTTCCAAATTGTTTTGATCAGCAATCAGCCGTTTATTTCCCTTCATATGCTTAGTAACATTATAATGATCACCAAACAGTCCTGTTGGAGATGGATATTAAACTCGGAGGTACCGCCTCTTGAAAAACCTAATGTGGGTGGCTAGTGGGTGCTCTGGTGTAGTTTGCCTCTTCTTTCTTGACGAACATCTATCAACCTGATCCTTCCTCCTCTTTTGCGTCTGTACTCACTTGCAACACCTCTAATCTTCGATACTTATATGAATTTGTTGTGTTACAAGTGCTGATAGAGACTTTAAAACCTTCCTTCCTTCCTTCCTTCCTTCGTTTCTTCCTTCCTTCCTTCCTTCCTTCCTTCCTTCCGTACTTACTTACTTACTTATTTATTTACTTACTTCCCAGGGTGCAGACGAGAAGGCGGTACAGCCCAGTGGACTGGAGAGGCAGGCTTCCAAAGTTTCCCTGAGAGCACCGACCCACGACGAGGCCAAAGTGACCCTCGAGACAACAAAGCCGTACCGTGTGTCTTCAGCCGCCTCCGTGCGCAGCGCTCAAAGATCTGCAAGACGCAACGCGAAAGAGGAAGACCAAGGGAATGAGAAGGGTGAAGAGAACGAAGAGGAGGACAGGATGGAGGACGGGGAGGAGGAAGACGTTCCAAAAGGGCAGTCGACGAGTCGAGAGGAAAAGCAGTTGAAAGGTCGTGGAAGGCTGGGTAATGAGGAGACACAGGATCGACTTGACGCGCGCTCGGTGGGAAATCCGTTCTCTCCCGTCAAATCTCAGAAGAGCGGTGTCACTACTGGCAGTGGTTGGGACGGCGATGTGAGCATGGAGTCACCCCTGGGCACTCGGGACGATGCTGAGAAACAGCCAAGGGTGAAAACTCTTCGGAAAAAGCCCCCTTCCTCCCACGAGTCACCTACCTTGTCTTGCAAAGAAACCGAAGCAGATCGTAGAAAAGACTCGATGAGTCGAAGAAAACCGAAGAAGGGCTCTCGTCGTTCGTTGGAAAATCTCGAAAAGATTGGAGATGACGCAGGAGGGCGTACTGCCGGGGAGGATATCTCCATGGAAACGGCAGAAGCAGAAGGTGGCGGTGGGATTGTAGAGAGCACTGTGTCGACTCTGGCTCCGACTGAGGTGAAGGACGAGGTGCTGAAAAACTCGGAGGAGGAGAAACAGCTGACGGAGATGTCCAAGGAGGCGTACAGGGAGCAGCGCCACCAGAACAAGGTCAAGAAGGAGACACGTGACCTTGAGGACATCCAGAGTCAGCCCTACTCGTCCAACGCCGATATGGAGACAACTGCCTCCAAAACACACCCCGCTGCCGCTGCCGTTTCTATCACTAATGACGTTGAGGAGCGCGGTCCAGCCAGTACCACCAAAGACCCGAATCTCAGCACGAGCGGTCTCTGAGATAACTGGTCACATAACAGCAGCGGCTGATACAGGTCAGGAGACAACCAAAGAGTCAAGGTCGCGTCCCCGAGCACAGCTCTCGGATCAGCCGATTAGCGAGAATGTTCCCGCTTCTTCTGTAGACTGAACAACGATGGCCGCTATGGAGATCAAAGAATACCATAGACTTGTTGCTGCCTAAGAATTATAAAGTTTTGTCTGACATTTTTGGCCGATTTGAGCTACTAACATCCTGAGGCCAGACACCAAATTTTCTATCTGCTCAGTCAAAATCGTAAGATTATTCTGAGTCGTAATCAAGACATTCATAGACTCGTATTCGAAAACACTACTTGACATGTTTTGAAACTCAAAATTTCGACGTCAAACTAGATACTGAGCAGATAGACCTTTGTAATTCTAGGATAGCTTGTATCATAAGACCCTAGACCTTATACTCGGACGTAATTTAGATTCACCCACGAGGAGCACACAATTTTTCACGATATAATGAATTTGAACAAAGTCAAGTGGTAAACGTCCCTCGTGACTTGTTTTGAGCACGGGAAGATAGTGCTACCGTTAACATTCCATAAACACCATCCCAAAAATGCATCACTCACCACTACTATCATCTCTAAAATCATCATTGCTCTCAGATCCTCGACATGCACCTATATTCCTTGAACTCAATCTCTATGTATGTAACAATTACGTGTTAAAATATTTATTATGTACGTAATACACTATTGGACACTATCGTACGCACCTTTTTTCTACTAATCAGATGGCGCCAATCTCATAAAAAGGGACAATAGAAAATTAAAGGGGAAAGGTGCCCATGAGCACTTTCACTGTTTACCTTACTACATTGTTGTTGATGTGAGATCCATTCTGGGGTTCTCATTTCAGTCATTGCATCGTCATGCTGTCCTCGCTAATGTCTGTTAGCTGCTGCTGATTCTGCTGCGGTTACTGCTGGTACTGTTGCTGCTGCTGCTCCTGCTGCTGCTGTCATCGTATTCATTATTTATTTGCTGTTGTTGATTTTGCTAAAAGCTTTTATTCCCGTGTAATTGTTGTTGCTGTTATTGTTGTTGTTGTTGTTGATGATGATGTTTTTTGTAGTTGTTGTAGTAGCGGTGGTGGCATCGGTTAGCTGTTGTTGCTATGCCGTTTTATATACATGTATTATGTTGCCTTTATTGCATTTGCAACTGCTTCATTCCCATGTTGGTCTTGTTGTTAATAGTGTTATTGCTTCGTTGTTGTAGTTGTTGTTGATGATGGTGGTGGTGGTGGTTTCAGTAATCTTCTTTTGCGTATGTCATCTTATCTATTATTCCTGCCGGCGTTGTTGATTTTATTCAGGTGTTGTTGTTGTTGTTGTTGCTGTTGTTGTTGGTATCGTCGTCGTTGTTATTTCTCTTCCTCTTCTTCTTCCTCTTCCTCCTCCCCTCCTCCTCCCTCCACCACCCCACGACCACCACCACCACCACCACCATCATCATCATCATCATCATCATCATCATCATCATCATCATCATCATCATCATCATCATCATCATCATCATCATTCTCGTGCTCCTTCTCCTCCGCCCTAGCATCATCATCATCATCATCATCATCATCATCATCATCATCATCATCATCATCATCATCATCACCTCTTCCTCCTCATCCTTATGATCATCATCTTTTGTATGGCTGTGAAATCAAAATAATAATGATAATAATAATAGTAATGTTACTACTCGTACATGCACCTTCTTCATTGCTGCTATTGGGAAGTGAATGTATAATGAGGGTATAATATGTTATCTTTTCTTACAAGTTTTTTTTTGTGCTTTTTGTACACTGAGGTTTCCATGAAAAGCACAGTATGACCTCAAGATTTTGAACGTTTTTAAAGTATGTCATTTTTTCTCCAAGCGGTGAAATAACCATGTACATAATGTATCGGTACTTTTAGGTTGATGGCGTGTGGCACTAACGATAACAAACACTGGAACGACCTTCACTCACTCACAAAAAAATGTCCAAAGCGAAAAGAACACATTTAATTTGTTTATTAGTATTGGCATTTTTGGCAATAAATTCAGTATTTATTTTACTTTGAAAGATACCCTGTTGTTGAGACACATTTTATTGTTGAATAATTATATGTCTTTTCTTTTTTTTCTTTTTTTTTTTTTTTGTCCATTCTAATTTCCGCATGATTTTTTTTCAAACGTTTTTGATTATCTTGGCTTTTTTCTGTCTTTTTTAAAAAGAGATGTTCCGGTTGATGCTGTTTTCGTTTCCTTGTACATTGTTCTTCTTCTTTTAAAGAAGCCAACCCTCAGACAAACACACGATTACAAACGTTAAAACTCCACACATTTGTGTGC